AACCTTAAACCCTAAACCCTAATTTACTACTGGTTTCCTTTTCAACCCGGGCCTGCTCCAGCCTCAGATCCGCCTCCTCCGTCTCTCCTGGGCTTCCAAAAAGAGGAAAGAAACGAAGGGTTTATAGGCTTAGGGTTTAGGGTTTAGGGGGCTCCCTTTCAAGGCTGTAAGGCTTGGGGTTCAGGGTTTAGGGGTTCAGGGGTTCAGGAGTTTGGGGTTTGGGGTTTAGGGATTCCGTTAAAGAGTTCTATGAGGTTAAGTCTCAGATAAAGCTTACTCTCATGGCAACTGGTTGTAAGGGTTACTACAAGGGCTCTATGAGATGGATGCTTTAGTAATAAGGTCTCCTTGGAGGGTCCCAAAAAGGGTTGAGGGGTTAGTAAGGGCTGAGGGTTTCGGGCCAAGAAAAGAAAACAAGGGTTTATGGGGTTGTTTAAGGCTTGCTTTACTAGGGTGTGTAGAGCTTATAGGCTTGTATAGGGTTTGTGTTAGTAGGTGTTTAGGGTTTGGAAGGTTTAGGGTTCAGGGCCTCGGTTAGAGCTAGTGGTTCATAGGGAGGAAAAAAGTTTGTTTCATTAGGGTGTAGGGTTTAAGGGTTTAGGGTGAGGCTGTAAGGCTTGGGTTTTCCAGTGTGAGGGTTATAATTACGGTCTAGGATTTTGGGGATTGCCAAATAGCTGTGTGTGGTCTTACACAGTCTTTCGAAGGTTGCCTGGGGAGTTTTCTCTTAAAGAAGATCTGCAGGGCATTGCGTGTCAGCTCTTCTACAGCAAGCTTTCGGAATTTTGCTATAAGCTCACGTGAGGCTTAGTTGGTTTGCCTTTAGCGCTTGCTGTTGAGGGTTGCGGAGGTTTTCGAACTTTGATAGACGGGGCACGTCAAGAGACTACAGCTTCGATGTTGAGGGATCCCCCCGACAACCCTGAACTGAAAATCTTACATTATTTAAAGGAAACTACAGGTGGGGNNTATCACGGTAACTACCCACCTGAAAAGCGCCGGAATTCTGTTAGGTCACGGGGCCCTGCTCGATCCCACAATAGGCGCGCTGCCAAGGCTCCTTCGTCTAAGTCGGAGTGGATGATCACGGAGCAAGTCGCCTCGCAATACCCGTGGCAATATAAACAAAAGGATCTAAGCCCTTTTTTGCAACAGGCCTCGCTGTCCACCCTAAACCCTCAACCGAAAGAGCCACATGATATAATAAGGATATAAGACATCAGGGTTCTAGAATCCGCTTGATAGGCATAGGCGCCTTGATCCCCTTCACATATACAAGATCCGCCTCGTTTATCTGCCATCTGGGACCCTGACATCACTGCCTTGCATGGATTCTAGGATCCTTGAGGGAGGGCTTCGGGTTTCGGGGATTACCTGTCGCCGAAAAGACCTACCTCTTTAGGGTTCCATATCATGGTTTCTGACATACAGTTCCGTAGAAAGGTGGGTCTTTCGGCCCATAGGAAGGACTTGGGGTTCAAGGGGGATCCTGAATAAGAGAACCCTAGGGAGCGCTAGGGAGAAGCGGGGATTACGGGGATTTGTCTTGCCCCCCCTCGGACCTCCGTCCCTTCAGGAGACTGTAACCAAACCTCAAATCCTGAATCCTAAGCCAGAGGCTTCAACGCTCATATCAAAGGTTTTTGGGTTTTGGGTTTAGGACGCATATCTGAACTTTCTAAAATTTTAAAACCCTAAACCGCCTGAACCATGAATGTTCGAATTCACCAGAAAAGGCCAGTGACAACCCTAAACAAAATCCTTCAAACCATACATCTCTAAACACCCTACCGCCCGAAAATCTCGGAAAGATGAACATCTAAATTCTCGAAAAGAGGCCTCCGCAAGATTGATCCCTCGGACAAGGCATCCTGGAGGAGAAGGCCAAGAGAGGGCTGAGTGTTTAGGCTTCGGGGTTGTTGCTGACTTGAAGTGCTGTTTTTGTATGTTGCCTATAGGGCCTGCTTTTTGGGGGTTTGGGGTTTAGGGCCTACTTTTTGAGGGTTTGGGGTTTAGGGCCTACTTTTTGGGGGTTTGGGGTCTATAGGGCCTACTTTTTGGTGTTGGGGTTGAGGGCCTACTTTTTGAGGCTTTAGGGTTTAGGGTGGGAGAGAAGTTCAGAAGGCCCCTGGGCGTTAGATTTTTCGGGCTTATCGGGTGTTATAAGCGGTTGTTACTGTTTAGGCTTTGATCTTCAACATGGGTTGTAGGGATTTTGTCTCTCTTGTGAGGTCCGTGAGGGCTGGTGAGGGACTCTTTCAGGTTCTGTGGAGCTTGACAGGGTTCTACAAGAGATTAGGGCGTAATTGGGTTTTGTCTCCCCCTTCTCCACCCTCCCTCCCTCCCTTCCTGCCTTGCCCTCCCAACTGCTAAATCCTCATCTTAACCACAAGTAAGCCCAAAAGCGTAGGCCCTGTGCTCTATATTCAACCACAGACACTACTCTAAATCAACCCTGAACCCTGAACTCATGCCCTAAATGTTGGCTGCTGCATGCTAGACCCTATTGCTGCCATTATCTGCCTTTCGTAATCATAGTAGTAGTCATAGTATAACTACTGTTGTAGCTTGAACTGACCCTTCTCCTGCAAAAGCAGCTGTATAAGTCCCGAAACTTCACGCCCCACTCCAAACCCGGAACTCCCTCCACAGCATGTCCCCTTAAACCCTGAAACTTAAAGATATTCGGGCTTGGGGTTCATAGGGCTTACTGAAAAATCTGAAAGACCAGCAATACTCTTGAATAGGCTTCCTGCGTTCAAGATAATAATCATTCACCTTCAATCCGTAATTCTTCTACTTGTCAAGGCCTCCCTAATTATTATATGCCTCTTAATCCCGGGGTTTGAGTCCTGGCAAGCCGTGGATCTCGAACATGTTGAACCTGCCAAAGTCTGGGGGCTTCAGAATGAAACGTCCCCTTGTTGGGTGTCCTTGAACATAGGACCCCACGATTTGGCGCTGATATTTACATAATGCTACAGCAGCCTCCAAATCCCCTTGTTTGAGAATGACCCCTTCACTTACGGAGGATCCTTCACATGGTTTAAAACGCAGTTCTCTAAACTGGGTTCGCTTGTTGGGTCCTTTGTTTGAAGAGTGACTTTGCTGGGATCCAATAGGGGGCCAGTAACTGGAAAAGAAGCCATATGCGCGTAGTACTTTGAAGCGCTTGCGGGCAAAAACAAACAACGACCCGTCATGGTAAGGAACCCCCATGCATGCAGGAGCCTATCGAGGCAAGGTCCCGCAAAAACGGGATGGTTTGGGAGGTTTAGGGTTTTTGGTTGAGGGTTTCGGGCTTAAGGGCTGGCTACGAACCCCAGAGTCTAGGGGTGCAAGTGGGTTCAAAGCGTCAAGAACCATTCAGAATTGAGAGTATAGTATTCGGGACTTAAAGCCCTACTGTTTGATTGCTTGGACCCTTAGGGGAGGCTGTCTAGGCATTCCTTGACCCAGTGGAACTAGGTCCCAAAAGACAGTCCTTACTATGGTTTTGAAAATTTGGTGACCTAATTCCATAATGGTAGTACGTCTGGACCCTCTGGGCAATCCATCTTTCCAGTTCCCACAGGTTTGAACCAGCTTTTTTGGGGTAAGGACAGGGTATTGGAGTTCCGGGTCTTTGGGGTCTGGGGTCTGGGGTAACACTACAAAAAAAAGCAAGAGTACTCTCCGCTGAAGCAGGACTTGGTAGCTGCTACCCTTCTCAAACCCTCGAGGTGGGCTCTTGCACTCTTGCACAAGGCGCATCAACAGAGCTTGATATGGCTGATATGGTTCATTCTCCCCTCAACCCTAAACCCTACACCCTTTTTGAAACCGCATTCAGGCCGATGCGTGTGCCGGGAGAGAGAGTTCTCCGAACAGCTCACATGCACAAGGATACCCTACACCCTTTACCCTTTACCGTTACCCTAAACCCTAGAACTTCTCTTATATGCTTGTGGTAGGGCGGGCTCTTTGGTAGTTCCGAGTTGATGCTGGGCTCCAGCAGCCCGCGTCCCTACAACCATAAGGGAACCTGCTTAAAGCCTATGTACAATGCTACAAAGGTACATGTAGGCTCTACCTGGGGATCCAAACACCCACCGTTTTAAGGGTTCTACTCTCTAATCAAGGGGTCATAACCTGCTATTTTGTAGGGTTTGGGGTCACAGGTATGGCATGGATGTCGGGTTTCGGAGCCAGGGTCAAGAGCTACTGCAAGAAGAGACCTGTGACGGCGATTCCCCGGCAGCCGACCGTGGGCTTCTACCCGTTTACCTTGAATTCGCCTCGGCCCCGGCCGAAGCCGTCAGAGGTTCCTATTCGGATCCCCTCTATACTCTCCAGTGGCCCTGCCTTGCTTCCGCGGCTTGTTGATGCGCCTCAAAGCCCTTCCCTTGCCTCTGCTTGTTTGTATGCAATCTCCTCCCCTTCCCAGGTCCTCTTCCGCTCCGCCAACGGCGTCTTCAAGGCACCAGCAGCGACGCGCAGCGTTTAAACTTTCCTAGGGTGAAGGGTTTGTTCGAAGCCTCATTGAGAAGCCCTAAACCTTTCAGACCCTAAACCCTTTCCTGTGACCCCAAACCCTGCAAAATAGTAGGTTCTGACCCCTTACTTAGAGGGCAGAACCCTTAAACCAGTAGGTTTTGGGATCCCCAGGTAGACCCTACCCTCGTAACATTAAGCCCCACAATACCCTATATAGCAATCCCTAAAACCTGTAGACCCCACTGCCAGCCTCAGCATGCAGGACTTCTCCACGCGGGCGGTCTTCACGCTTGCTCTCCTTGTCAGCCTGGGGTTCGGGAGCTGTCAGAACCCCAAATGGTTTAGGGTTCATAAAAGGGTTTCATGTAGGGGCCTTAATCGTTAGAATAGGGTTTGGGACATATTAGACTATAATTATGATAAGGAACCCCCCAAAGCCTATTCTAATTAAGGCGCCTATATCAGGGGCTTAAAGGGTGTTGGCAGGGAGACGGGACGGGAGCTTCAAGGGTTCTAAATAAGGATCTTACAGGGGTTCGGGCTCCGGAGGGGTTTAGGGTTTAGGGTGTTTCCAGAGTTTTGCATGGGATCGATTGCGGTTTTAGGCTAGGGGCTTGTAGGGCTTGGGGAACCTAAGGCTTTCGACTCTCACACTCGCACAAGGCCGGCAAGGCTCCGCCTAAGGCTTTAGGGTTTAGGGCTTGAAGGTTTCAGACGACCATAGCGGGGCAAGAGCAGCGATAGCCTTCGTCATGCAGCCATAGTGGTTGGGTAGCGAATAGTGGTGTTCGGAAATACTTAGTCAAGCGTGTACGAAGTGGGCATGGGAATACAAGGAGTCGAGAAGCAGCACTCAACGGTAATAGTGCCGACGAAACAACACAACGAGTGTGACAGTCCGCAAAGCAACGAATGGTTCCTAAAGATCGAGGATACCCTTGCTCTTGGAGGCTTCTATGCAGGATTGTTCGACCTTCATCACTTCGCCAAGTCCTTCTCGACTCCTTCTTGGACCTAGTGGCGATTGGACCTTCGCACTTCTGGCGACGCGACGCCGGGCAAATCTGTAAAGTCGCATGTAGGCACCAAACTTGACATACTCGATGATAACCCGCAAAGGCCGAAGTCTGTTTTGAACAACGTGTAAACTTGAAGAAATACAACAGAAATCAAGGCCCCCGTAAACCTCTAGAGCAAGCAAGAAACAACTCCAATTGGCCAAGCGTCATCAGAAGACCAACTGCACCCTACATGAATGAAAACACCAAGCATGGTAGACCAAGTCCCACCATGCCAACACAAGGGTCTTCAAAACCCTACACTGGCCACTGACCAAAAAACTGAGAAAGAAACCCTGAATCCTAAACCCTAAACCCAGCCCACAACAGCAACTCCCAAACCCAAACATACTGAACCCTGACTCCTAAACCACTAAGCTCTAAACCCCAAGCCCGGCCTAGGGTTTAAGGTTTAAGGGCTGAGGGGTTTAGGGTTTTAAGGTTTAGGGGTTTAGGGTTTAAGGTTTAGGGCTTAGGGTTCCAAAACACGAAACCCTTAACACCCCCCTTTCTAAAACGCTAAGCCCCAACCATCAACCCCCAGCCAAGTTGAAGGAAACCGCAGGTGGGGAGTTTAGGGTTGTTAGGGCTTCTAGAAGGCTTCTATAAGGTATATACACCTTCTATAAGGCTCCTATAACGGTAACTACCCACCTGAAACTGTCTTAAACCCTAAACCATAAACCCTAAACCAAGAGGCATCTCCGGCAGTACAGACCGCGCCGGGCTCAGAGGACGGCTCGACTCTTCCTCAAGGCCTCTGCTTTAAAGGAATTTAGGGTTTAGGGTTTAGGTTTAGGGTGGGGAGTTTAGGGTATATAGGGCTTCTATAAGGCTTCCATAAGGTATATAGACCTTCTATAAGGCTCCCATAAAGGTAACTACCCACCTGAAAATGTCCTAGAACCATAAGGAAGCAGCCGTGAGAACTAGAATTGCGTTCCCTTACAGGCTTTCTTTAACGGTGTCCTCTACGGTGATACTATGATGGGTATGCATCTAGGGTTTTAATGTGCTGGCCATAATATTCAGAATAGGGTCTCAAACAAATACTGAGGGACTGTATATGACACGGTTTAGGGTTTAGGGTTTAGGGGGTTTAGGGGGTTTAGGGTTTAGGGTTTAGGGTTAATTATGAGAACATTACGAGTAAAACCTTGGACCCTAAATGCTAAACTCTCACCACAAGCATCCATGTACCCTGCGGGGTCCTTTGAGGAGTTACTGTAATCCAGGGCTCTATAGGGTTTCATCAGGGTTTTATAGGCCCTATGGGGCTTGATAGTCCATGTATAGGACTGAGGGTATAGGGTTCTACAAGACATCAGCTTCACCACATGGTTGGGTGACAACACATTACGGTACAGGGTTTTGCTGGAAATGAAGGCCAAGTAAACCCACGACTCAAAAAACAAATACCTGTACACAATTTCAGAACGCCTTTATTCAACAAACTGGACAAGAGTCCTATACTTCTGACCAAAGACTTCAACATCTTAGTTAAAGCAACATCCCCAAACCCCAAAAACCATACTGCCCAAAGATTTTTTGAACCCCAAGCATCACCGAACTGAGACCTGTGTAAGCTCAGTCGCAATTGAAACTCGGAAGCCCTCAACTATCGGTTTAGGGTTTAGGGTTTGTTGAACCCTAAACCGTAGCAGTAAAGCCCTGCACCCAAATACTGAATCCCCAAACCAAGACCATATGCTAAGACCTAAACTCAAGCCCGAAACCCCTAATTAAACCAAAAAGCCGTTTAAGCTAAACTTGAAGCATTAAAAAACCGCAAACCACTACCCTTAAACCTCGAACGAAAGCCCGTAAAACCGAAATCCAAGCCTGTAGAAGATGGTTTTGGGGCAAATTAGTATTTAGGGTTTAGGGTTAATTTTAATAAAGAGCCACCAACATAGTATAGGTCATTACTTAGACAATTCAGGCCCCTATATTAGACTATGAAACCCAAACCTTTGAGCCCCTGAAACCTCAGGCAACATCCTTTCAGCCCTAAGCCAAACTCCCTAAACCGTTTAGGGCTCAGGGTTTAGGGTGCTAAACCCCAGCACCGAAACCCACACGCCTTTTGAAGCTTTGACCCTAAACCCACCCTGAACCCTCAACCCTTAACCCTTTTTGCAACAAGCCTCGTTGTCCAGCAGCCCGGTGTAGCCAAACACACACTCCCCTAACCCTAAACCCTAAACCCTAATCCTAAACCAAACCTTTTATTTTCGACTCCCAGTTGGACCCTTAGCAGCACCCCGAAAAGCTGCACTGCACGGTCCCCACCGCAACACCCCGCCCCCCTCCATCCTAAACCCCACACGATCTGCAAACCAGAAAAGAAACCACGGTTCAGAGTTTAGGGTTTAGGGCTCTTCACCCCCATGTTTCGAACAAAAACAAATCGAGAAGAGCGACGCTCCATTGGGAAGCTTGGTACCCTAAACCCTAAACCCTAAACCCTAAACCCTAAACCCTAAACCGAGAAGAGCGACGCTCCATTGGGAAGCTCGGTGGCGGCGAGAGTGGCGCTGCGGCCACGCGGAGCGGACCCAGGCTGGCCTCTAGGGGCGCTGGGAGAATAACGTTTTTTTTTTTTGGTGTAGGGTTTAGGGTTTAGGGTTTAGGGTTTAGGGGTTCTTCAATCTTTGACGACTTTTTGAAATATGTATTTCTAGTTGGTGGTTTTTGGTATTGGTATTTCTAGTTTAAGGAGTTTTGGTATCGGTATTTCGCATTTAGGCGTTTTGATATAGGTATCCCTCATAGGTATTTCTAGTTTAATGACTAGAGCAAGCAATTTGGTGAAATGTGGTGTTTAGGTAGGGTTTACGGAGTTGGGGTTACTACTAACTACAGTGTCCAGGTTACTCTAGGGTTACTACAAGATGCTCCAGGGTTTACGACTGCTCTATTGCAAGCTCCCTTCCCAGGACACCTGCAATGTTCCGTCAGGAAAAAGCCTTGACAACAAGAGACCCCGAGTAAATCGTAGATACTGCGCACCCTAAACGATAGATGGGCTCCGAAGTAAGCTCCTAAGCCCTTTTTTTGAACCCAGGCTCTGATCGTCAGCTGGGAAATCCTAAGCCCCAAACCCTAAACCCCAAATCTCAAATCCCAACCCCAGTCCCGAGTCCTAAATCCGAAACCCTAGCCCTAAGTGTCCATGTACCCAAATAGTATATGCTTTGGCCGTATGGTAGTCCCTATGGAGGTACTTTGGGGCGAAAATATTGCAAGGCCAAAGATCCTCTGGGGGCCAGCAGGACTTCCGAGCCAAGAAATACAAGTTAGGGTTTTAATGGGTTACGGGCAGCGCAAAGACAAAATCATATAAGACCAAACCTTTACATTGAGGCCCTAAACCCTAAACCGTGGCTCGTAAGGTCTAAATGGAGATTTGTAGAGAGGGTCTAGGCTCTGCCTGAGTATCCTCAACCTGGACCCCCCAAAAATCCATGCCTGATTCAGGACTTACATAAGCACATCAGAAATAATAATAACAATAATAATAATGATAATGATAAGCCCGGAAAAGGTAGGCTCTGCCTGGATAGGCAAACAGCTTAACGCAAAGCTGACGCGTTGGATTTTTTACGAGTTTAGGCTGCGCCCTTAACCGGTGCTCTGACCGCGAAAAGCAGAAAAGGGAAAGATGGTGGTTCAGGCGCCTCAGTGATATATAATATGTTATGTTACTTCCTGATAGCCCCTAGTGTCATTATAGTAAACAATATCCCAAAGCCGGTATGGCTCCTGAAATAAGCCCACATAGCAGCCCGTTGCACCCTAGCCCTAATCTTGGCTGACTTCTGAACCCCTGCTAAAAGCTTAACTTTTGGCTCCCTTGTTATAGTTCATATAAAAACCCAAAAAGTTAAAGTCCTAAGAGCCAACCAGAAGAAAGCCAAGTAATGGCTGCACCTGCCTCGCTGCTCGTCGTCTGAATGGAAGCCAACGATTGCCTGCCTGCAGTTTAGGGTTTAGGGTTTAGGGTCTCTTTCCCCTAGAAGTGTTCAACAGATTAACAAGCGTTGAGTATGGCTGGGTTTGGTGGGATTTTAACCTTTTCTTCAAGGTTCTGTCGGGAGGGGCTTCGATAAGGGTCTTGTATACAAGTTCATATTGGCGCTCAGCGGGTCCGTTGTTCTTACATCGAGTTCTCAAACAATCTTTCACCCCTGCAGCAAGCAGCATGAGTACTCTGGTGAAGCCGAAAGAACCTAGGGCTCAACCGAAAACTCCGCCCAATGATGAATACTTGTCGTAAACGTCTCAGATGACTTGTTTTAGTAGCAGCGGACATGAAATAAGAACAACCAAGGCTGTAATGACAATGTAAGACGAGGTCTCGCCGCAACAAGACGAGTGGTCATAGCCGAGGCAATGGTTCCAATAGCTAATAGCACTACCTGCGACTCCAAATAGATACCTATTGCTTCCAAGGTCATCACCTATAGCCTATAACACCATAGCTCGAGGATCACGAGGCTTAGGAAGTAAGCTGCCGTACTTTGGGTTGTTAGTAGTATGTATAGATACCTTGATAACAACACTTGTGTTGCTAAGTCTCACGCTCCTTCAAGTACCCCTACACTTAATCCAGCTCTTGGTCCAGTTTGAGGCTACAGGCAGCCATTAGTCATAGACATAGGCGGAAGATGTAATGCCAAGAGCCCATATCCTTATGCAACTTCGGAAATCACTAGATCGTGAACCTGGAATTCTAAATGCCCGAACCCTAAACCCTAAACCCCGAACCCTAAACCATAGCAAGAATGTCTACAGGGGCTAGGGCCTGAAACCGCAAACCCCTACGTAAGCTCAAGCGCCATATCCTGACACCCTTTCTCTCTTTTGCTTCGACGGGGACATCTCAAAAACAACGTGACGGTTTAGGGTTTAGGGTAGTACTTGCACACCTGGAACCTCCCAAAAAACCGTCATAGAACTCTTAACCCTAAACCCTAAGCCCTTATAGATCCCTTATAGAACCCTCATAGATCACTTTAAGGAACCCCTAAACCCTAAACCCTAAACCCTAAACCGTGCTAAGCCGACCCTAAACTCTAAGCCCTTTAGCACCCTGCACTTCAAAAAACGTGCCGGCTCAGGAAAGGGCCCCGCAGATTCTCCAACTCATCTTGGAGGAGCTCTACCTCTCATTTAGGGTTCAGGGTTTAGGAGAGCCTTGGGGATATAGACCCTCTCAAGAAGGTCCCTTTTACTTGGCTGACTTCTGAACCCCTGCTAAAAGTTTAACTTTTAGCTCCTTGTTATAGTTCATATAAAAACCCAAAAAGTTAAAGTCCTAAGAGCCAACCAGAAGAAAGCCAAGTTTAAAAGAGCCACAGGCAGGGTTAAGAAGGTTGCCTTCAAGGGGTCTCCCAAACACTACATAGCAGGTTTCGGGTTTAGGGTTTGATTTGTGGAGGACCCTTAGCCCTACCCCTACAGCCTACCTGAACCTTAAAGAAACTCAAAGACCCTACCTTTTCACGGATAATTTGCAGAAAAAATCCAGACAAAATGTAGGTCTTTGGGGGTCTAGGTAAGCCCTAAACCCAACCCAAAATATCAGGGTTTAAATGATCAAAAGCTTACAAACTCACAACTCGCACTTTACCTTTCGCCGTGCCCTGCTTAAGGTGGCACTAGGATAGGGGTTTAGGGTTCGGGGTTTACTCGACATTAAGGGTGCTGTGAATCTCAACATAGAATATTCGAAAAGTGGTGAAGTCGTCATGCCAGAACCCTGAACCCCAAACCCAAACCCGAGACCCCAACTCTATACCAAAATGATGGCCTCATCACCCTAAACCCTAAACAAGACCAAGAAACCCCAGTGTCGGCTAGTGCTCACTCGCCCTAGAGCCCCTGAACCCTCGACCCGGGTTTTCGGGATTTTAGGGCTCCTTATGATATTTAGGGTTTAGGGTTTAGGGTTTAGGGTATGATAACTTCCTTATGGGTTTAGGGTTTAGGGTATGATAACTTCCTTATGATATTTAGGGTTTAGGGTTTAGGGTCCTTCAACAGGAAGGCTTTTTGGGGAGGCCTTCTGAAGAACGTAAAGTTAAGCAAATTCTCCGCGCCTCCTGCTGCAGACGCCTGAAGGACAGCGCGGACACCAACCAAAAAAAAAAGGTTGAGGGTCTAGGGTTTAGGGTTCTGTGAGTTTAGTAAGATGTTTATTATCAGGGTTTGGGTGCAGCATTTGGGGTTTAGGGCCTTGGGAGCTTTAGGGTTTGCGGATTGGGATCTACAGCTGAGGGCTGGGGTTCAGAGTTTGGGCTTAGCTCTCCTGCTCTGACTCTGGGCAGCCTGTACCGTAAACCTATAGGGTTTCGGGTTTTATTGGTTTAGGGTTTAGGGGCCCTTCAATGTAAAACAACAACCCGAGGTGTTGTACAAATCTTGCTTAACTCTTTAGATTGTTGCGTTTATGCAAAAACGCGCCTGTGTAAACTCTCAAACTCTTTAGCCATATATTCACCGTAAACCCGAAACCGCTAAACCCTGAAAACTCTGAACCCTAAACCTTGTTAGCCATGGGGCTCTCAAAGACTTTGATCAACACCTACTTAAGCCGCAAGCCTATTAAGGTCTCAACCCTTCTCCCAACTTATGCAGACCCAACATTAATCTGTACCTATAGTCTCCATTGAATTGTATATAAGTCCTTTTTTGGTTAACCATTTCTCATACTGTAGGATCTTAACCTTAAAAACTAGTTAACCAAAAAACGGAACTTCAATGGAGACTACAGGTATAGCCGTAGTGCTAAGACCTGGCGCCTCTCTCCAGTCGCTCTGTACAGCGCGTTCAATACATTTCATCTTATACAAAGGAGTCTTAGGAATTAGAATGTGGCTTTGGGGTATATGGTAGAATGAGGGGATACCACAACGAATTCGTCCGACCACTGTATTGCCCTCTATGAAGTTGCACCAAGAGCCCACTAACCATGAAAAACCATCAGTTCATGTCATGTGCCTCACTGCCTCACGTCCAGCCCTAAACCCTAATTTCTAGACCGTTGAACCAGTTGAACCAAAAACAGAAACAACCAGTTAACAACCCACAGCAAACAACAGAAAGCACGCCAACAAACGGGATCGTTAGAACAACAACAGAGAAAAAACCTGAAACGCTATAATAGACCCTGTCAGGACTCTTGAAGAACCCTGAAAGGAACCCTTCATAGGACCTGTACTCTCCGTTGTATTTAGTTCCTTCTTTCGGATAACCATTTTTGTAAGGCTGGGATCCTATGATATGAGAAATGGTTAACCCAACAAAGGAACTACAATGGAGACTATAGAGACTCTGGAGGAGCCTCAAAGAAGCTGTGCACAGGACTCCTGAAGAACCTTGATGAAATCCTTGTAGAACCCTTCCAGGACTCGTAACGCACCCTTTAGAAGAATCCTCGTAGGACTGCTGAAGAACCTTTAAAAGGAAGCTTTTGAAAACCTTGACTTGGAGCATCATGGGACTCACAAAGTAAGGTTGCCTCAGTTGGAGACATCAGTCAATTTAATGACAACGATTATAGGACATCAGATGCTACTGTAAGCCCCAGGGCCCTTTTATAAGTACCCCTTCAAACCTTAAACCCTCAACACGTGTAAATCAGGAAGCCTTTTGAGGATCCGCTTTAACTTAAGGGCCCTCAGAAACCACAACAAAAACGATATGTCTAATAATCCCGTGGATGCTTGGTATTAAGAACAAATTCCTGAGACCACTGAAGTATACCCTAACCCCTAAACCCTAAACCCTAAACCCTAATTCCTGAGACCACTAAAGTAAACCCTAAATCCCTTTTCGAGGCCTCACTTCCAGCTCCTGGAGCATTGCGAGCTCCCCGAGTTGGGTCTGCATTTGCGCCACGAGCTGCCGACTCCTTTGGAGTTCTTCGGTTTCGACTTAGGGTTTAGGGTTTAGGGTTTAGGGTTTAGGGACTCGGGTTCTTTGGTTTAGGGTCTCAGGATTTAGGTTTAGGGTTTACGCAGGGTTTCATGATTTAGGAGAAGATTTCTCGGGTTTAGGATTCGGGTTCTGGGATCTTGGGTACAATTTCGAGGCTGAACGTTTAGTTAAGGCCGAGGGTTTGGGTTTAGGGCGCATGGATTAGGGTTTAGGATGGTTTAGGGCTTAGGCTACTTATGAGATCCCTTTTTTTGCGTGGTGTTCAACAAAAGGGATTTGGGTCCGGTTGGTATCTGTAAACTGTTTTGGCTTATGAGGGTCTTATGAGGGCTCTATCACAGGGTTTAGGCTTCAGGGGGATGCAGTGGAACTTTGAACAAAAGCTCTGTGTCTGCGGTACGTTTCTATTACAGTGACACTCACCACAAGGGCCAAATATGGCCAGACTCTGCATTCAAGAGCCGGTTTCTGCAAAGCAAGTTGCTTGCGACGACATCAGAATGTGTGGCAAGATGGGTTTCCAACTCTTTGTCTTAGCAACGTCAAACAACTTGTTGACATGATAACCCGCATCAGTAGTGTAGGCGCCTTAATAATTAGAATAGGGTTTGGGGGTATACTATACTATAGTTATATCAGAACCCCAAGGAATATTATGGGTAAGTATTTAGGCTTCTATATTAGCCACTCCAGGTGTGCCTTGGCTTATGGCAGGTCCGGCAGGTATGCGCTGCTTACAGGCATCCTGCCGCGCTTTTGGTCTCACCAATCCATGTGGATGGCTTCGTAGCAACAGATCCTTCATAGGTAAAAGCTCGATCTCATGACCGACAAAGAACTGGTGATAATCAGTCTTCCAAAGTGGCGATGTCTGCATTGACATCATGGCAACCCAGGGTTTGGGATTTATGGCTTTGGGGCTTAGGGTTCTGTCACACATGTTTTGGCGGTTCAGGACGTCGTCGCCAATCTTAGGGTTCTGTCACACATGTTTTGGTGCTTCTGGACGTCGTCGCCAATTCCTAAGGCAGGTCTTTCACAAATAGTGTACCTCCAGCTTGAAACCCTCATGACGACCCATGGTGAATCCTCCGACATTGGTGAGATGTATGAGTGGCCTGCCCATTGATGACCCAGTGCCTTTTGATCCTTTGATGTCAGAGAAGCTAGGCGCTGACGTGGAGGCAAGTCTTCCACCCACCCATAAGCCCTGAGCACCAAGCTATAATTCCTCACCCCTACACCTCAAGTTCTACAGCCTAAACCCTAAATTGCACACGCTGAACCCGAAAATGCCTAAAATCCCTGCGCCCTAATGTAGGGGCCGTAATAATTAGAATAGCTTTTGGGTGTTCCTTACTATAAGTATAGTATAATATACCCCAAACCCTATTCCAATTGTTAGGGCCCCTATATTACACAGTCAAACCGAAAGCCTAAACCCAAACCCCTAAAAGACCGAAGCCTAAACCCTAAACCCTAAACCACTCAAACCGAAACCCCAAAATGTTAAACCCTACACAGCCGAAACCCTCAAGTCCTCAGCATCTCAGAAACCTTCAGCCCGAAAGCCCCTCAGCCTGCCAAGCAAAAACCCCGTCCGTCCAAGTCCAGGTTGAGGGTTTAGGTTTTACGGTTCAGTTTAGGGTTCGGTTTAGGGTACATAGTTTAGGGAAGAGGGTTTTAAGGTAGGGTGAGGTAAACCCCCCTCACAGCAACGGTTAAGACGAGGGCTGGTGCATGCATATCAGAGGCCAAGTTCCTTGCTTGCCAGGGGCTGTTAACTTATGGCGTTGGAATGGGGGAATTTTGAGGGTTTCGGCAGAAAGACCTCGATCACCCTAAACCTCACGGACCTTCAGCATAGACTCCTGATTACAGGTCTTAAACCCAGAGCCCCAAAGCATGAACCCGCTAAACCCTTAACCCTTAAACCCTTAAACCCTTAACCCCTAAACCCCTAAACTCCAAAACCCTAAACCCTGAAACCCTAAACCCCTAAACCTTATAAGAACCGCCTTAGGAATTTGTCAGCCGAAGGGCTGAAGCGGCTCTCCATAGATTTGACCCTGCATGAGGACAGCTCTGGGCCCGAAAACTCTCAGATCAGTCTGAGCCAACTACCATGCTTGAATTCTGAGCTCGTGTTCGAGCCTATACAGCTATGGTTCACGGCAGCTGACAGTGCTGTATGTGACAGTGGACCGATATGTTAGTCACAGTGCTACCTGCGATTCTCGAAGGCGCCTGAGTAATCATTGCGTAGCACCCAGAGACTTCGATATCCCTTAATTAAGGAATATACCTTAAATCATATTAGGGATCCTACTATAATTTAAGGCATAATCCTTAATTAAAGCATATTGGAGTCTGTGGGTAACTGCAACTAAAGTAAAGATGTTCCCTAGAAGTCCATATGTGACCATAGTGTATTATGTGCCGAAACCCTATCCAAAACGGCACGTCCACTTATAAAACCCCCTCCCTAAACCCTAAACCCTAAATCCTAAACCCTAACGCCCAGTACAGCGTCCGTGGTAGACCATGAAGCTGATCTTCTGAGTGCCATCTCGAAGACAGAACAGCCTTAAAGGTTTAGGGTTTAGGGTTTTGGGTAAACCCTAAATAAACCCCACCCAAAACAAAAATGTGAAAACGCTATATGGAAATGTGATATGTTCCAGTAGCCCTAAAACCCTCATAAATTCCTCAAACTTTTTGCATCCCTTCCGTAAGGCTGCCTTCTGTACTGTTCTTCGGGAGGCGGGGACGACGAGCTCACCTAATATAGGGGCCTTAATAATTAGAATATGGTTTTAGGGCTCCTTTATAGCATAAATATAGCAATGGTACCCAAAATAGCCCTAAGCCCTACACCCCAAAATAGTAAGCCTAGAGGTCCATGTGCCCAAATAGTATATACATTGGCCCTGAAAATACCTATATAGGGACTACTTTATGGCCAAAGTATATCTAGTTGGGTACATGGACCCTTAGGGTAATGGTAATTATTTAGGCCCACGACATGAAGGCCTCCTCCCAAGGGCTGGTTTCCGTTAGGGAGCCTCAGGGTCGAAGTGCCTACATACCTATAGTCTCCATTGTAGTTCCTTTTTTTTTTGGTTTAAGCAAATATATATATATATATATATATATTAAGGATTTTATAAGGTATCCCCAAAAAGGAACTACATTGGAGACTAGAGGTAGTATGTTCTTAGTACTTAGGGTTTAGGGTTCTTAGTTCTTAGAGGGCTTCCCAATTAATATGCTTTCCATCCACCGGAATGCACCACAATAGACTAAGCAATATGGGTGCATGGACCCTTAGAGGGAGCTCCTGGAAATGATTGGTGGAATCGTTTTACATCCGCGAAAAAGACCAATGAGTGCTTTCGGGTTTATAGGCTCTGCAGGTTTTGGTTCGAGGGTTCGGGCCTATTTAGCGTTTAGGGTTTAGGGTTTCCGAATGCAAGTGGAACGTCTGCGCCTGCTGACTGCTACTGATGAACAGTATGCAAGGGCTGCAGGACGCCTCATTGCGTGCGGTACTAGCCGGCACCTCGTCAAACCCAAATCCGTAATGTGGAGGCCTCAAAAAATAGTATCTTGAAGTATATTACTTAACGTAAAATCTACAGGCACTATGCGGGGATATTACTACTGATGTTTGCGCCATCTACTTCCCCGGGCACCTTGTCAAACCCAAACCAGTAACCAGAAACCTGGCAAAGATGCGCCTGTGCCAGCGACGTGTTTGGTGGCTGGGGCGGTGTTGGGACCAGGTCCTGACCGGCTGCCATCTGACTTGGCTGCAGTTGGAAGTCTAGGTTTCAGACTTAATGTACGGGCCTCAGTAATTAGAATAGGGTTTCGGGATATATACTATTCTGCAATCTAATAAGGAACCCCCAAAATAGTATTGGCAATAATTTAGGCCCCTACATTACGGGTTGATGCAGACCCTAAACCCTAAACCCTAAACCCAAAAAAATACAGTTCAGGGATCAAGGCTTGTACTG